CTCTTCCCCTCCCTGCTTCATCCTCCCCGATTTTTTCCCCAGTCTCAGCTGAGGAGGAGGAGAAGGAGGTGGAAGTTCCCTTCACCTCCGGCATTCTCCCATGATGAGCTGTTCCATGGCCGGGGTGAGGCGATGGCGGTGAGCTAACAGTGACAAGCCAGCGGTTGCGAGTTGTCCTAAATCCATTACACAAAGGGGTACTGATATTTGCAGCTCTATTCACTTGCTCTGTTTACTACTACTTGCAATACATCAGAGCCATTCAGAACAAAATTGCAACTCCTTTGAGGTTTAATTTATTGCTCTTTACCATGACTATTTAGAGAGTAAAATAATTTTTAGTCAAGCATTGTCTTCAATATTCTAAATTCTTATGTTATTTTGGTAAGAATAGAGAATATTAACCCATAGCTACTTTGTACCATTACACCCTCACTATAATGTACTATTTTTATCAAGTTCTTTAGTCTCAAACTATATATACTTGAAAATAGAAATGAATATACTTCCTGTTGACATATTCTTCTCAACCTTTATCACACAATAAATTGCCAAAGATGTTCATGAAAAATTTTAATTTACTGTATCTAGTTCACAAACCTTCACCAAAGTGACTAGAATTCATTCATAAAACTTGTCCTAGTCTTATTGTAATAAATATTAGATATTAGTCCAAAACTGAATTTCAAGAGAAGAAAACATTTGTCTTTATTGCTTATATAAAATCAGTTTCAGAGTATGCAATGAGAAAATGTAATCATAAATTTGAGAAGTTAGATAGTATGAAATATGTCATCATTTTATTAAAACTGAACTTAAAAGATCAGAATTATTACATTATCGCCACTATTTAGACACAATATCTTTCATTGGGCAAGACAAAAGAAACTGCTTTCCACTATGTTATTTACAGTAACTTTTGGAGAAAATGTTTCTCCACCATTTATATATGGTAATTAACATCATTTAACCCAGAGGTCCCCGACCTTTTGGGCACTAGGGACCAGTTACATGGAGAGAGGTTTTTCCGCTACAGGGTTTTACTTATTTGTGCGGACCAGTTGCTGACATGCCGTGGTCTGGTACTGGTCCACAGACCGGGGGTTGGGGACCCGATTTAACCTATAAACAGTAGAGGTTCTCCTGACCAATAGCAACAAGAAGGTTTTTCATGCAGAGATTACTTTTTGCAACAGCAGTTGTAAGACTGAATGGGTAACTGCTTTAGTTTATACATTTTAGATTTATTAGAAAATTTATGGCTGATTATAAGTTGATATCATAATATTATTCTGCATATATAACTTTGTTTACAGAAATTATACATTATTATACAT